AGGCCCGACCGGCGGGACCGCCCCGGACTCCCCGCGGGCCTTCCTAGCCGCCATGGAGGACGGTGTCTATGGTAAGTCGGGGAGGGGCGGGGCCGTCTGGGAGCGGATGGAGCGTTTCGGCCCCAGCATTCTGCCGCGAGCGTTCTTCCCGGCGCGCGCCCTGCGAAGCTGTTCGGCTCCGTCGTCGCCTCGCTTTTGTGGGGAACGGGACGGGCTTCCGGCGGGGCAGGAGAGTGGGGCGTTCCAGGCCATTGTTTGGGCCGAGCCTGTTTCCGGTGGCAGCGGGAGGGGGTGGGAGCGGCGGAGGCGAGGCCGGGGAGGAACCATTCCCTCTGGAGGGGCCGGGCGAGCCCAGTGCCTGCTGGGAGAGGGGAGGGGGCTTTTGGGGACGCTGGGGTGAGGAGAGATCTTGGGGGCTACAGATTCCGCTAAGGCGGGGACGGGGGCCTTCGATGCCCCGCCCCCTTCCTCAACTCTTGAAAGCTGTCATCAGCTTCGCCTGCCATAGTTACTTTCCATGGACCCAGGAGTCCGGACACCCAGATCCACAGCTACCTCGCCAAGAATGGAGGCAGAAAACCAAGGCCTCAGCCTCCTTTCAAGTAATGGACCGAAGTTCAAGCTTGCAGCCCTTTTTTCCCCACACACCTAAGAGTTCAGGCTCCCAGTCCCCTTCTCCCCCAGGACTAAAGAGTCTAGGTTCCTAGCCCTTCGTCCCCTGGACTGAGGAATCCAGGCTGTACCCCGTCTTCCAGTAGACAGGAGGCTGGACTCTCATTCTCCTCCTGCCCCGGAACCTAGGAGCCCTGTCCTCCCCCAGATTTCAGAAGTCCACGCTCCCAGCCCCCAAAACTGACCTCCCACCCCTCATCCCCTCCTCCAGAACCCCCGGACCTGACTCCGGAGGAGCGGATGGAGCTGGAGAACATCCGGCGGCGGAAGCAGGAGCTGCTGGTGGAGATCCAGCGCCTGCGCGAGGAGCTCAGCGAAGCCATGAGCGAGGTGGAGGGTCTGGAGGCCAATGAGGGCAGGTGAGGGCTGGGGCAGGGAACCTGGGGGTCACGAGGCCAGGCCAGGGCCAGGGATGCCCAGGCATTGGCCCTCCACCCTCCGTTCTGTGTCCCTGCAGCAAGACCTTGCAACGGAACCGGAAGATGGCAATGGGCAGGAAGAAGTTCAATATGGACCCCAAAAAGGTGCTTTTGGGGCCACAGGGCTGGGATCAGCCAGGCAGACATCCAGACAGGGGATTCTGGCGTCTCTCTGTTCCAGAAGTATGGTGGTTAAAGGTCTGCCTTAGGTGCACAGACTTGGTCCTGATCCCTGGATTCAGATATGGCTGCATTTGTTCCTGCGCTGGAACTTCTGCCCGGGACGTCTTCCTCCCCTTTTTGCTCATATTTTAGGGCCCACTTCTGTTGTCACCTAGAGTCCCCAGGTGGAGCTCGATTGAGTCTGGTAGGGAATATGGACAGTGACGTGTACAGAAGAGGGTTGACGAGTGCCATGACAGGGAGAGAGAGAGGTACCAGGGCTGTGGACACTCAGGGGAGCAAGCCTGGTGGCACCAAGGAGGGCTTCCCTGAGGAGGGTGTATTCGGGTCAGG